AGAGACTTCAACAGTTTTGTGATTAAGTCAACGAAGGGACGAATCGTTATTAACGAACTTCGAATTTCATTAATATTTTAACAATCCCTGCGCTTTGGAGCACAGAAAAATACTCAATTGAGTCAGAGTGTAACGAAACAAAGACGGGAGAGAAGCCTTGTATCCCATCTGACAGTCTTCGTGACAGTGACAGTACGAACAAGGAGAAGAAGACGTACTGCTGGAATCAATACGTCACGATGGAGAACTCCACTTTGAACGCAGGAGACATCACCGAAAGACGTTTTAGTCTTCTGTTTTTCTTCTTGCGATTAGTAGGAATCCCTGTGAACAGGAAGACGTCCTCATGCTATCGCTCCTTGTACAACACGGTGTTTTCCATCTGCATGTACAACCTGTACCTGGAATTTACCATGGATTTCATCACAAGCAAAGATTTGGATAATGGCATTGTGAAGATCCGTTTCTTTCTGGGGACAACTGTCGTAATGTGGATGCACCTGTACCTCAGGTAATCAGAATCCAGTATCAGTTAGGTGGTTTATGGTGACAGGATTATGATATTTGGATTTGTGATTCCCATTGCGGTGAGTCCGAAGATGGCTGATTTCTGGGTTGTAGCGCCTTGTAGTCTGGTGGGCGTTTACCGAAGTTTCAGAGGTGGTTACTGCTTCCATCATCAGGGCATCAACCCAGAAGACAGCCATCTTTTTCGTGAGACGTGTTCTTTGTGTCTTAAACAAATGTAACCGCATTCAGGCAATGTCAAACGCCAGTGTGACCCTTTGAAGCCGAAGCTCGTCTAAGTAACATTTAATATAATTCAGTCCGTACCGCGAAGAAAACACTGCACTTCACCATTACAAAGATCAACCGAGTAGGATCTGAGGTTTTTACGGCGGTGAGTCTGAAGATGGCTGACTTCTGGGTAGTAACGCAGTGTAGTCTGGTAGAAGTTTACCGACGTTTCGGAGGTGGTTACTGCTTCCATCATCAGGACAAAGACCCAGAAGACAGCCATCTTTTTCGTGAGACGTGTTCTTTGTGTCCTGAACAAATGTCAAACGCCAGTGTGACCCTTTGAAGCCGAAGCTCGTCTAAGTAACATTTAATATAATTCAGTCCGTACCGCGAAGAAAACACTGCACTTCACCATTACAAAGATCAACCGAGTAGGATCTGAGGTTTTTACGGCGGTGAGTCTGAAGATGGATGTCTTCTGGGTTATAGCTCGGTGTAGTCTGGCAGAAGTCTACCAACGTTTCGGAGGTGGTTACCGCTTCCATCATCAGTGCAAAGACCCAGAAGACAGCCATCTTTTTCGTGAGACGTGTTCTTTGTGTCCTGAACAAATGTCAAACGCCAGTGTGACCCTTTGAAGCCGAAGCTCGTCTAAGTAACATTTAATATAATTCAGTCCGTACCGCGAAGAAAACACTGCACTTCACCATTACAAAGATCAACCGAGTAGGATCTGAGGTTTTTACGGCGGTGAGTC